GCGATATTTTATTCAATTATGCGATTCTGAGACTGATCAATGGAGCTTTAAAGTCATTTGACCCGACTCGCTTTGTGTGCTGAGGAATTTTGCCTGCTACAGTTCACGAGACACTGACAAATTTGAACACAGTTAATGTCACTTCATTCATGACCAATTGTGTAACCAAATTCGATAGGTATCCAATTCGATGACAGCGAAGCTGTTTTATTAGCCTGAGAATAAACTTACATTTTCACGCTCATGAAAGTATCTTTAACGCCTCGGTGGAAGTTAAATAGGAACTAGTCTTAAAACTCGATGATAAACGGTTATGAACAATATCTTAATAAATCTGCCTTAACACCTGGACTAGAAAAAAATTTCTTTGAAACGTCTATTGGCTTAGGAAAATTCGTTCGCTAAATAGATTATCAAAGAAAAATGTGCAAGGAAATTTAGTAAAGGAATCATCGTAGTATTGAATGTTCACCTTCGATTTCCCCCTCATTCTTAACCAGTCTAGTTATCAAGTAAAGAATATTCTATGCAGTTCAGTGTTCAGATATATGTTTTCCTCTGATCACTCTCCTTTGCACAAAGGGATGAAAAAAGAAAAAAAATAAGAACAAAACAAGAACAAAAAACAATCAGCTTTGTGACACATGTATCCTGGTCAAAAAGTGAGAGCCAATTTTGAATGAGCAAGTCAAAACACTTGAAGTGCAACAACTGAAATTGAGAATTTAAAAATGTGTTACGCACTCTTAATTTCTCTTCAAGAGTCTATGAAAAAATATTGCGGTATACCCTAAATTTACAAATGTTAATCTGAAAAAAATTCTTGAGAGGCCAGGAGTACCAATCCAATTGACTAGTTATTCCTAAATAAATACCCAACATTCGAGCGTCTCTGAATCATCTTACCTCAAGCCCAATGGAGTAACAAATACCATTGGTAAACACCTCAATATATCACGGTGGTAGATGACTCACTAGCTCCTGCGGATTTGAAAAGTTTTTATAGAGATATCCAGATCCCTATAACCGTAATTGAATTTAACTACTGCTGGTTATATTTCTAATATAGTGGATATAGGAATACGGGCAATATAAGACCTGTGAGGAAACTTCGTTTCTTGAAAAATGATATTCCATACGGGAATATGTCTAAACAGAACAAGAAACTTCCTAAATCATAGTCGCGCTCGATGAGGTATATTTGAACTAAACCAACTGAACCCAGAAATTTGTTAGCGATCATAAAATAACAATTCTGATAATAATTTGTGAGAGGAAACAAAACCAGGCAAAGGGAAAAAGTTTTTCTAACTGTTGATATCCATTACTTTTGAGCGCTCAAACTAGGGTTGCTTCCATTGTGTCCTTTTTCCAAGCCTTTTGGGGGAAAATATTTTTAAAATTTGTGAGGGGTGGCAGGAATATTGAGTGGATGAGAAGGGTGTACAACATTGGACCAAAGAAATTGTTTCTTTTTAACTTATTTTGTTTACTCGCGTTACACTATTTTCCTTTCACAAAATTTATTGCCTTGAAGTCGTCGTTAAATTTACAAAAGTGTTTAAAACACTTAAACTTGGAAAAAATTATCAAGTGAAAGTTGAAATGGCGGACAGCAAAAAGAATTGTTATAGATCATGAGTACGCATTTACATGTGAAGGGTTTTTTTTACTTATCATGTACATAGGATTCTCAGAAATATGTTAAGGAAAATGCATTTAGTTTGTCGGTACAATTTTCTTGAACCAAGAACATAGCAAGTTTTTCCCTTTTTGGCGAGTAGTTTGAGGAGCTCTAGTCGAGGCTTTCTAAAGGTATTTGACTTTAAAACACCTAAAACGGAGCAATCTTGTCGTAAGTGATCCCGAGTTATACACCGCAGCGCTCGGTCACGTTTAACGCAGGTCTCAGAGTACGGATCCATGGATGTTGACACTTAATTAGAAATTGAAAGAGCACGAATGCCGGTCACGATTCTTAAATAACTATATGACCTGCAGTTGGAAGTTTACTGATTTATCGATGTATCTCATCCAAACTGGCGTAAAAACAGGAGTCTAACTACTAGAAGGCATCAAAATGGTTGCAGATGTCAAAGAAAAGCTAGATATATGGCGATACAGCAGGGCTTGCTCTAAAGTTTTAATAATTTTTTTCCTTTATAATCTTTTAAGTATATTATATCATGCAACGATTTTATGTTGTGTGTTGATATTTACTCCGTAGATAGCGATAATTTTTCAATACTCTGCAGCGCGAAAGCCAGATAGTTGTCTTCAAGTTTATCGAAATATATTCGATCCATACAAGTTCTACCGAAGACTTATAGACGCTTTCTAAGCGCGGGATTTCCACTACTCTTTTTCTTTCCACGGGTGGCTGAGTGTCATTCTTGGTCTAGTATGTTCGACTAGGGGCTGGTCTTTGGGTAGAGATTTGACTCGCGTCCAGGCCTACCGTGTTGTAACTGTCTCCGGCCGGGGTTTCACAAGAACTTCGTACCGTGGGTTCGCAGGACTTTAAAAAAGGCTGGTCATTTAAAATTCTCTCTGGAGAGTTACAGAGGAGAGCCTAAACACCCGTAAGAAGCTTCTGTCTCATAGAGAGCTTGGGCCACGTGTACCTGAGTTTCACTCGGCGAGTGTAGTCGTCAATTGTACTCTGCATCACAGTTTTCGTTCTTACATCATTGATAGCTTTTTTACCAGATCGACTATCCTTGCCAGTATTTCTCAGAGAAAAAAAGAGAACGGAAGCTTAAATGCGTATTTTCTACATTACATTATCAATGAAAAGCACAGTGTAAAGAAGGAAATGCTGAGATCGTTTTCCTTCACACCATCTCTTTTTTCTTGTCTAGTCTCTTTACTAAGTCAACTACACTCGGTGATAAGTATCCATAAGAACAGAGACATATCAAACTCTTTCCCCAGCGCGACAAACATTTGTTTTTTCTCGGTTCCAGGTGTACGCGACCACTAACCCTACATAATGCGCATGCTCTCCGTCGCGAATTTTCAAAATGGCGAAAAAAAAGCGATTTTGCAATAAATACTTAACATAGAAAGGCGAATCCACGATAGAAAGATACAAAATTGTATAATATTGAGATCAGGGAGGTTGACAAAATCAACAAGAGAGGTTGAAAATTCATTACGTTGGCTATAGCACATGCTTCGATGAATGGACACCCTTCAGGGCCGATAGAGGATCTGGATATTTTCCGTTTGTTCGCAGCGAAAAGCTGTTCATTCCCTCGGAAAACTCTCTAGAGGATAGAAAATCGTTCCATGGCCAACTTACTCGTGAAATAAAGAAAAAAATTTGGTCTGGACGGCGAGAGGACCCTGATATAAACATAGACCTTAATGTTGACCAAGATGTTTTCATGGAAGGTCTTGGGAATGTTTTGCCCGGCGTTCTTCAAAGAGGGAAGATGGTTTACCAATTGGAGTCAAATAGGGTGCTTCATTCATATCTGGGGCTGAAGTAGGATGAAAGAATTTTAAATGTAGCTGAAGATTTTGCCTGTGTTATTCCAGGAACTATTAAGTACTGGTTGGGACAAAGAAGTCCAATCATTGAATACAAGCTCATCGATGTAGGTGTTCTTAACCCTTTCATAACCTGCTGCCTCTAGGAACTGAATCCTGTTTTTCTTCAGAAACAGTTGTTTGAGGGCATCAACCCCTTTGTGATTTGTGGATCTGAAGAAATCTTTAGAAGCTGTATTATCGTATTTTTCCAAGCCTTGCTGTGTGTAATATGCTATGTTCTGATAAAGTGACAGGAACTCAGGAACATGATAATATAGTGCATGCATGTACGGAGTGACATCTTTTGCTTGGTAAACTTTGAGAAAGTGCTCAAACCATAATTTGATATTTCTTTGCAGTTCAAGAATACCTTCTTCAGATGTAAAATCTAGCTTCAAATCACCAATTATATCCATAAATTTAGCCCAGATCACTTTTATGTCTTTGTTTTGACTGCAATGAGGGACAAGCATAGGTCGGAATGTTTATATTCTGAAAGAGTTTCAACTTTTCTGGTCTAGTAAGATCTCTATATTCCAGCTTTTTGCTCTTCTTGTTGATTCTAAAATTAAAAGTGATTCCCATACTTTTGATAAATTCTTCATAACATACCATGTGTTTATATTTATCTCTTGGGAATCCATCAGAGGTTTTTTTTTTCTCAATAGCATCACTTCTTCTCAGCTCTCTTATGAACAAGTCAATAAAAACATCTGAAATCCTCAGAAAAAAATGTAATGTATCTATGATGACATGGTCCATAGGTATAAAATCAAATAATGGTTGTGCCTCACAGTTTAATTTCTTTCCAGTGGAAAACCTTTCTATTTCGGCGACAGTTCTAGCACCAAATTTGGGGTCATTAATTGACCATGTTTTGCTTGTGTCCCACCGTTGCTCCCTGGGACACTTGCATCACACACAAGCATAATCCTCATTTTCCCTGCCTAAACCACATACCAGTGCTAAAAATTTCAAATCTCCTCCTAAAAAGTATTCAATTTTATCGGTGCAACTATTTGCACTTATCTCCTTTAAGTTTGACATTTCCATTCGAAGGTCTGCTACGCTGTCTCTCAGATTATCATATGTCTCTGTAGTTTTTATGACAGCAAGTATATAATTTCCCTTCCCACCTATTGCCACATCCTTTTCATGGAGAATAGTAAAAGTGAAGTTGACAACTGTAAGCCCCTTTCCAATATTTGTACCATCACCACTAAGCTTGATTTTAATAGTTTCTCGTTGATTTCTCCATTCTTCTGAAGCCTAACAATGTGCTTTTGCAAGCTTTCTGCAAATCCTAACTGAACACTTTCAGCATCTCCTGGTGTTGGTTTCAAGTTCCATTCACTATTTAGCTCATTAATTCGCTACTTGATGGAATATATATTGGGGAGATCATTAGCCTTAATGGCAATTTCATGCCAGGCCTCATTTGAAATAATGAATTTATCTTTGAG